TCATGGACATCGGATCGATAATAAAGCTTCTAGTGAGTACGGTAACACTGAGATCGCTGTCGCGGCCGCAAATACACAGACTTCTCCGAGCCACATTGCGCTTACAAATCCCGTAGGGGATAAATCTGCAAAATAAGTTTATTGAAAAGAAGACATAAGTTTCGAAAAAAGAGACTAAATGACAAAAACGAAGGAAAGGAATCCACCAAGGGAGTCTGCAGATTGCAGAATTTCGAAGAAAACATAACTTGATTAGATGATTAGAACGCCGAGTAAAAATCCAACGAACTACAGAGGATATACGACTGCGACGTAAACCAGATGCAGCCAAATAATCTATAGAGCATAACTAACCTAGGGCTATACTTCGAAACTAATCTCCGCAAGGAATTTGCGGTTCGACACCAGCGGCATCGTGAGAATGTAGATTTACGAAAGACGAAAAGTTGCTCGATGTCGATAGGATAACCGCCTATATGTAGACGATAACAAAACTATGGTAAAGATATATTTACAAAACTTTGAAAATCAACACATAGCCCAAATTGGAAGATCTTGATGCGTTATCATGAAAACATGTTTTGTTAAAAGAAAACCTCATGGGTAACAGGTTTTTCGAAATCCCAAGGTGGACACAGATCCAACTTGATTGGATTTTCATCAGCTCATGGAGAAATCGAACATTGTATAGCTTTAGGCGTCATGGTTAAAGATAGATAAGTAGTATATTTTGCAGTTATGATGAGAACAAAACTGTAAGAAATTACCTAGTTTATTACGCCGACTCCCACAACCTTTCTGAGGACGAGTTACACTGAGTGAACAGCTAGAACCGTCTTCGGATGATTCTAAAAACAATTTAGGTTAACAAAAAAGGAAAATCTTCGTGTTTTGTCGTACTTTAGTTCCACATTGAATCCTTTGAATATTAGTGGAAAAATGAACACAGTAATGCTGTTATGCCGAGTTGTGCATGAAGTTCAGTAGGTAATTTTTTTTTAACTGCAGTTTCTGTAAGAGTTTTGCCAACTAACGGACTTTTTGGGAAATTTCAGAAAGAATCTGAGCATTAGCACCTAATGCTGGTTTTTCAATTAGTGCTGACTTCTGAGTATGGTCTGCCATCCAAGTTTTGCAAATATCTTGGCATCATTATGATTGTATTTCACAAAATACCCTTCTATGAAAAAATAAACAAGAGATAAAAAGTTATACACAGTAGCTAGCTGAGACAAAGGCTAAACGAAGAACCCGCATTGTGTGGTGGTGAACGTGTTGGCCCTGCAATCAGTCACAGCGCACGTTTGCGGTTAGGAATTTTGCAAATATCTCAGCTTCATTATGGTTATACATAGTGCTGGTAGTTTTCTGTCCATTAGGTATTGAAAAGTCCAGAAGTTTACAAACTTTTGGATGAGATATTGCTTTAAAGAGCGCTAGCGTTAAGTATCTAGAACTTTTCGAAATTCGCTAAGTCGAAACTCTTCTCTTGAAAACCATGGATTTTCAAAAGTAATGTAATAATTCCATAATGCGTAATCCATACACATTTCCTTCAATGTGTGAAGAACTATAGATGTTGAACCGCGGTAATTCGAACATACCGTCAAAGGGTTTTATTTGCGGACTTCCAATTGAAGGCGAACATAATTTAATTGGTAAAATCATCGATTGTTCGCCTCGACGTGGTATTTGTGGACGAGAGAGAAGACGTGGACGGATCCCAGAACAATGTGGAGAATAGGACGATAAGGGAGGCAAATGAGATCTTTCACTTAGTGGATACCTGGAAAACTATAGTTGCTCCTCAAAATTCCTCTCTACTGCTCTTGGTTTCTGGTTCCATAAATTAAACTCTATCACATTGCGATTCTAGAGTTATTACTACTCTAATAAAAAAATGAAAACATAAGCCATTCTATTGAGAAATATGATAGAACCAATTACATCTACTATACTGGCAATGCTTTTTGCTTTGTTCCTGGCAACCTTATTAGCCTGTCAGGCAACATCTTAGCTAGCATTTCCTTGCAGGATAAGTATACACATGCCATGAATAGTGGATATTTCATATTTCATCCAAGTCTTATTGCAGCATCTAATTCTTCAGTGCATGAAAAACTGTGAACACACGTAAAGCTTAAGATAAAGAAGTGTAAATACTGAAAATTATGAAGACCTTGTTTCATATCCCGCCACTTGGTTTGTATGGCGAGTTTGGCTTCTGGCTAACAGTCGCTTCACCTCTTCTTTGACGTCAGTTCTTTCTTCGCAAAGTTTGTCACACGATCCATGGGCAATTGGAGAACCGAAGGCTTTCCGGCGAGACTTTGAGTCACTGAATCAACATTGGTTTCCTTTCCATTGCACTTGGTTTATCCACAAGAGACTTGTATAATAATTTTGAATCTTCAATTGAACCTCCAATCTTTAATATTAAAAAGGCTTAACTAAATTTTAGGGTGCTGAAGCCATAAAAACAACTCGAAATGGAAAGTCTGCAGCTTCCTAAGCTACGCTAAGTACATGAAATCTTTGTTATTCGAGATTATTCCTAAGACTACGTTACACTTTGTCAACTAATCCGTAACAGAAAATGAATCCACCGTTCATAGGACGAAGAAAGACTACGTGACATTAAAATAGGAATCCTTGTCGGTTTTAAAGCAGAGTCACAAATTACAGAAAAGTCGATCCCAGAACGAGAAGCAGAAATACAGCATCTGAAACAGACATTGTCCAGTGTAAACCGTCCTCGAAAAAACATCGAAATAAGACCTCTGTAGAACACGGATTTTTAGCAGAGCTAAGCATTAATGGCAAGAAAAGTTGGTCACTTATTCACCTGTTAGCATCAAGGGCGGGAAAATCTGTAAACGCCATCAAGTTGAGCGGATTTCTATACCGTGAATCATTGAACCGGCGAACTATCAAATCGTCTTCACAACTCGATGATGTCATTGAGAGGCTGTCCTAAACCTCAGAGATCTTATTAAGGCGTTTCTAACGTTCTAAGCAAAAAAAAATTGCTTGTAACTTTAGTTTTAAAAAATATGCTATCTACATTCTAGCACACTCTGCTCACGAAGTATCTACAACGATGTATGGAACCTATTTGGCTAAACTGCCAACGCAGCGCTCTCACATATTTCAACACTCGCAGTAATTTTTTCGCATAATTTTTCACAATATAAAAAATGAACGTGTAAGTATCTTCACTTTGAGATTTTCGTCCGACCAGTTTTGAAAACTTGTAAATATTTCAAACCAAAGCAAAGTAATGTAATAAATTTACGAAAGAAATATTGAATGTGAAGCTTTTTATTTGGTGCTTCTATAATATTTCATGGAATGCTAGGATCTGACGAACATACGTACAATATGGAGTGAAGGTTCCTTCTTAGTATACACGTATAGTAGTGAACCACTCTCCTTGCCAGCAGATCTACACGCTCTTATTAAAGCCGCAGATAGCAAAATTTGAACTGGGAATAAGAAATGGAACGGAAAGCGTCTCGCAGGACTCCTATCTGCAACGTGTCCCTTCCATAGAAATTCATTCCTCCAGAAGGAAAAAGTCGCCGGTGGACGTGGGTGCCCTCTAGCGATGTGACTCACGCTAAGGTCGATCATATTCTGACAAACAGAATATGGTGCTTGGTTGACACATCCGCAGTCCCATCATTTTGCACAAAGTCCGATTACCGTCCTCCTTGCACGAGAAAGGAATTCATGTCATCGGCTTAGAAGAGAGAGTCCAGATGTTTATGATGACAATATTGTGAAGGAAATCCTGTCCAGATGTGACTGGCAGCTTAAGCTAGACTCGACCGAAGACTATGAGCTGCTTGTTAAATAACTTGAAAATTATGCCAAGCTCGCCACAGTTCTTCAAACAAGAATTTCAGACGCAGGTCCATTACTCCCAAGAATTTGCGCAAAAAGAGAAGAACAATGAAGCTTTATCCTAGCAAAACATGCATAACATGGAGCAGCACATGCTGCATTTGGGCCTGTCAAAGAGGACACCGACAGACGCGCAAATCTGCGCTTACTTTTTCGATTCAAGAGTCCTCCAGCTTTGTGTAATGCAGCAGAGAGTGGAGCTGATACTTCAATAACGTCAAGAACACTGTGCGCTACTCACACAGTCGGTATATCTAACATCTAGCCGAAAGACGAAGCACTGATTTTGGAAATCTATCTCATCTTCGAGACACAAGAGAATATTCGTCGATGGCGAAACATAAATGGGTAGGTTATATGACAAGAACAGGTGACATATGGACGAAATGGGCTGTAGGGTCGAAACAGTAAGGATACAAGCGTACTCTGAGAAAAAAACCTATACGCCGAGTGTTCTCAATAAAAGTCAAACAGCTGTATTCATAACTACAACTGTTCTACAGACCTCGGTGAGAGAATCGTACACGCCACCATGTTCGAATCAAACCACCACTGTGGACGACACCGTGAGGCGAAGAAACGAATGGAAAATGCGCTGGATTCCGCACAATTCGTGAAGACGGGCCGTCCAAGCATCCCATTCAAGAAATGTCAAGTCGTCCTTTTTCTTTTTGAACTTCTTTCAGTTCCTCACTTTCTTATGTACATACATACATAAAAAAATATAACGCAATGAATGCCTTTTCATCTTTTTTCTTTCAAAGGTAAGGAAAGCCATTTTCTCCAGCGAATCTATTAATGGTCGTTGATAGCTTTTTGTAGTTCTTTTTCGTTCTAAAGATCTAAGTTCGATATAACAGAAACAAGATATAACAAAAGAAACATTGTTAAGGTAGTCGGCACAAATTCCTTCAGATTCAGAGCAGTCCGACGAAGCAGTTGAAAAGCAAGGCATATCGGAGGTTTTGGTAGATGGCTGGAATGAGATGTTTCAGGGAAGGATTCCAAGTTTAACTTTTTTTTATATTTTTAACATTTGTTGGCATCCGAAACTCAATCTCACCTTTATCGATCGTCGAAACGACTCAACAACATCAATTTGCTTTGAACATGGGTGAGGAATAAAATGAGTAGGAGGCTTGAACGTGACGAGATACTGTAACCCAGAGAGCGCCAGAGGCGCTATTTTCCTACGAGACCGCGTGCTTTGGGATAAAGCACGGTGGCCGGTGACTCCCCTGCTGCGGACTTTGCAAGCACGTTGCGGGCGATTGCGTTTTTTGAACGATTACTGAAAAGCCACTATTGACAGACATCGAAGCAGTTCCATTACAGAAATGGATTCCATAGTAAACTGTAAATTTGTTAAAAATCCTCAAGCGCTGAATATACCTAAAAGATTTGGTTCACTATCCATAGCACTATAACTGCTTACCGTATGTCTGTGGAAGGTGACCATAAGCGGCTTTTTATGTTTGGCGCTGCCTTCAACGCATCAATCACTAATGATTTTCCTTCCTGTCGTTTCGACAAGTCGAACTTACTCTAAATACGGTAAAATCGACATTATTATAAAGAGGAGTCGATAACACTATATCCAATTGTTCTATAGTTTTCTTGACGGTATCCCACATATGGTAGTTCAAACGGCTTGATCTTTGATTGCCCTACTTCTTTGAAACCCTGTAACTGTCCGCTTTCACTAAAAATTGTAAGAATACCAGCCTTTAATTTAACTCGTGTTTTGCTAACTAGACAACATTTTCTCCTGAAATTCCGTTATTGCTATGCCAGAGCGTTCTCTTTAGTCACGGACTTTTGTGGATTACTCCACCTTCCTCCACCAACTTGTTCAATGCGACTGGGATTGCAGGATACGCCAACGGAAAAGATTGTGCTTGAAGTGGGGTTTTTCCAACGTATCTTAGAGTCAGAACTGCGTGTGATATCCTCCCTATTCTCATGTTTGAATATCTATCCAACTCTTACGAAGTCATACCGTGACTTTGGTTGGATCATAATCGGAAACTCTTGGTTGGAGACGTTCCAGTGACGAAAACATTACGACATTTTCACCACAAAACCGAATGATATCCTCATTCAAAATAGCCTCCACACTCGACGGCGAGCCTAAATGACTAGATGAAATGAGTAAATTGACAATTGACAATAAGACCACATTGACATTAAAGACGCAACTCCATAAGAGAATTCTCGTTTGCTTTTTGCAATTTCAATCAATAAATCGTGGATTAATAAGCATAACTTTATTGCTATTCAATCAATTAACACCTCTTTCGAAAATACACGCGTAATTGTGATTCTAAGCCTACTAAACCTTATTAACGAAGCGGACTAGAGATAAAAACTGTGACATAACATACAACTACTGTTCCTTTTCAGAAAGTATCCACAACTTATCAAGAGCATTTCATATTTGCGGCCTGTTTCGGAGTTTACTCAAAAGCCAATAAGAACCATTACCAGTTATGGGGGGCCGTCGTTGCCTACTCATCTGTTCACGGGCGCGGTCGACAATCATTCGCTCCGATGCTGACATTGGTCGGCGTAGACCCGGCATCGACACCTTGAGGAAATCGTAATTGAAAAGGAGATCTATTCCTTTTCCAAAACTTCTACTCCAGAGATTTAGCTGAGAATCAATAATTCAGAGCAATAAAGGGAAATTGTTTACAAAAAAACTACAACGACGTTAAATGCAACAAAATGTATGGAAAGATGTTTTCTTTGTTTTGAAACAAATCAAAAAAATTTACGAAAAAACTGACATCTCATGCAATCCATTATGCTATAACAATCCCTCAAATATAACCTGGAAGGTTATAAATATGTGGAAAGCTTAGTAATTTGTGCCGAATGAGAAGAACTAGCTGAGAGCCAGGCGAAACGAAGGACCCGCATGGTGTGGTGGTAAACACGTTAGTCCCCGGAAGGAGTAATATCGCATTCGCTCCCCACCGCAAACACCTGCGGTCCGGAGTTTTGCAAACATCTGAGGTTCATTGTGGCAAAGAAGAACATTATTCAGTAGCCGATGAGATCACTAAAACGGGAAAATCAAACGTCACTTTGTCGCCTTCAAAATGAGAAGTTTTTTTTATCCAAATAGCTGGATTTTAACGATTGGATACTATGAAAGAATGGGAATAGAACAATTAAAAAAGAAAGAGAGGAAGAGAAAAAGTTAGATAGGCACACATAAAAAGAAACGATGAAAAAATCAAGGATTTATTTTTCAGTGGAGTACCGGAGAGCAATGCCATTTCATTAACAAGCTTCCACGGTTCCGTTCAAAAATAGCAGATAAAAATTAAGATAACGAGTAATCAACTAGTAGATTTCCTAGGGGTATGGTTCTAACAAATAGATGAATATCTATCGTCCTGGAAAACGTGTTAATTTAAGTGAATTTCCTTCCTTTTTCTAGGTTTTCTTAGGTCTACGAAGCAACATACCGGTCTTTTGTCCAAATAGGTATTTTGGTCGGCTAAAGTGCTGGCGTCTGTACTGCACACACCAGAATCCGCTGTGGAGTGAGAGAGCAAATTCTGACCGTCAGCTGTAAAGGGTACAACCATTTAGAGGTGATGCACAAGCAATCGAGGTGATGAAATATCCCTATTCTAGATAAAAAGCAACCACTCATTCATTCTCTCGCTTCAGAAGAAAAGGTAACATTATTTTCATTAAAACATATCAGGTGAAAAAAGGAAAAATCTTCTGATTTGGTGCAATTGAAAATTTCAATGCAATGAAACAAAGCAAAAGTAGAGGTTTTAAGTAGTAATTAGAATGGTCACCGTGGAAAAGGATAGCGATAATTTTGAAAAAGCAATATGATAATATTTAGTAGATGGTTCATAACAGCTAAAGGATAAAGCCCTAGATGGTTCGCACGCAAGGAAATAATTGATTGTCTGCTCAGTAACTATATATGCCCTCCAAGCAACGACTGGTTTACTATACACTTACAAGTCATCGACTTATACTGAATATTTTTTATCGTATATCCAATTTGATCAGTTTAATATATGTCACCTTAAATTTCAGTGTAGAAAGAACACTAGCGTTTCAAGAATATTTCCATTCATCAACTTGGACACCAGATCGGACGAAACTGGACGCGTTTTTTAATGATCAGTTGGAGGAAGTGGTTATAAGTCCTATAAAATTACTGTCGGAAGCATTACATGAAAGAAATGTGAAGAAAACAGATAAAAGCGAAATTCATAATTTCCTCTCTCAGCAATCGCGAGGTTGTTATACGTTTACCTCCATACAATAACACACATACAACACAACCGTAACTAATGTTTCGGCAGAATCGCCTTCTTCGTCAACCATATGCGACTCTGAGCGGCTGTACATTCTCGATGGAAGACAGCTGAAAAAAGCGCCTCTGAAGAAGGCGATTCTGCCGAAACGTCAGCTACGGTTGTGTTGCATGTGTGTTACTTCATACTTGGTACTTGAACAGCCTGTCCTCACTAGTTGTGCGGGCCCCAGCATAATCACCATTCATCGGAGATTTGCTGCTTAAACCATTGTGGTTCTCTGGAATCCCGAGGACAGCCTGACCAAAGCCTGCCCCAGTTATATGTGTGTTATTGTATGGAAGTAAACGAATGCAGTTTAACAACCTCGCGATTGTTGAGAGAGAAAACGACGAATTTATAATCCAGTGTCGAGGTTAATAGAATGTCGATCCTAGGAAGAACGAAATTGTTAAAACTGAGCGGTATAAGAACAGGAATTCGTCTTGCATAGAAAAATATTTCTCAAAAGCAGGGAAAGATCCGATGACCACCTTCTCCATTCGTCCATTCCATTCGTTAATAAGCTGGATAAGATTTATCACCCATCTCGGAATAAAGAGATGTCAGCTGTGAGTAGCACGAATATTCTGTATAAAATTTTCTTCCTACACGACTAACCACCCTCAAAGAAACCCAACTGAGGAATATGACTGTTCGCCGAAGATTTTTAAATGTATCGCTGAAGCCTTTTCAGTCAATAAGTTCAAATCACATCTTCACTGAAGCCTGAACCTCTTCGGTAAGTTCAAATAACGTTTCCAAAACCATCAAAGGCCAAAAAATTACTTGAGGACAGTTTGAGAACAAAAGGTAGATCCTATAGCAACACAAATTGGCTGCATGCAACACGACTCGTAATAGAGATCAACTGATTGCGGTACGGACCTATTCGAGTATAGTGCTGCGCTACCAGCCTGAAAAATGAGGCAGAGGAGAAATTGTACAGAACAGCGAAAGAAACATGTTTGAGCCATCCTAGATTTTTTCAAGAAGTCGCCGAATAACTGGGAGATCCAAAAACCTGCGCTCACCTTTTCGACTCAATGGTGCGACGCATGGATGAATATTCTTTGACAAAACGTTCAAATGAAACCATTGTTTTCAAGAACCGAAAAGGAATATATTACGGTGGGAAAATACGGGCGATCATGTGAAGAGAAAAGGTGACAATAAGTGGACCATATGAAGGCTTAAGTGGAGTTCAGGATGCATGAATGGCTCCTGAGTGCGATCACACACGGCGCATGAATATCCATTGGAAAGTAGGCTTACTGATCATGAAATGATATTCGCAAGTCATCATGAACAGAAAATCTGCCACTTTAGCAGGAAATCACTAGTAAATAAAACAAGTGGAAAATCTGCTACACCCCAGAAATGATTTCTTCATGGCATTTGATCACAATTTAAAATACTTCTACTGTGCTAGTGGGTAGCTCATGAAAAAGCCAACGTTTGGAGACATTTCAACCTATCACTCGAAGTTTCCAGGTTTCATTTCTGCTTATATATAGAATTATAGCAAACAACTTACCCAGAAGCGCAAGCGAGGCACAAAATTCAAAAGTGACTGTTATAAACTAACCTAAAAGCACATTCGCCAACGGAGCTGTGGGAGGTCGGCTAGCTGAGAGTGGTCGACCACCATGCAGCCTCCATTGTTGCTCATCATCGTTCCATTGCGCCCTTTCACGAACTCTATTCGCCACCTCGGGTGGAATGAAGTTCTCCACGATTAGAAGCCTGTGAAGTGAATCACTCTTCTAGGTAAGAGATGAAGAATATATTAAAGTTTAAAAATCGACCAAGGACAGATGTTCGTACAGATGGAAAGCAAATAGGATAGAAAACATAAGATAGATCAATCCTAACAAGAAATAAAAATCACTGAGACACACACAATTAGCAGAGTGCTGATTCACTTTTTCTAAATGGATTTCCTTTGCATTAGGAATTTATCTCCCCTACGAATTGCCTTTGTTGAGATGACGCGAGGTTGGTATAAGTTGTTGTTGTGGGTGTGGTTCGATGGATGACGTTTTGGCGACTTTGCCTTCTTCAGAGCCGTTTTGTAAGATATGGAATCAGCCATGAGAGAATTCATATTTGATTTTGAAAATGGGCTTCATATTTTCTCGGAAGCTTGTATGTTCCGTATTTACATAGATATACTGTTTGTGAAGGGGTGAGCATGTTAATATCCTAATTGTATTTTGCTCGTAAAATTGGGCAAAATCTGTGGTAAAGTTGGTGAGAGTGTCCTCCAACAGGAAATCGGTATGTCCAGCTCCATGGAATCCGAAAGGCCGTCCACGAATATAACTAGCACCATAGCGCAGCCCAATTAGCTGCCATTAGTGGCTCTCACTAACCGCAGCTACGCCGATAAAGTAATGAAAATAAAAGGTCGCAAATCCATAGGATGCTTTCATATCACTCGAGCAACAAAAGCCTAAAAAACCGCTAAGCAGATTGGAAAGGAACACTAATAACTTTACCGCTGGTCGCTCAAGACATTTGAGACTTTCGATTTCCTTCGCTGAAAGCTTATTCTTGACACTCATAAAAACATTCGGAATTGAGTAAATAAACAATAATAAATGAATTTCTCAGCTTAATTTGACAGTGTTTTACAAACATACAGAACGAATACTAACAGCAATACAGCAGTTGCGTTCGCAAGTGAGCGGAAAGTTCTTTGAGACTGAAAAATTGTGGGCTTTCAACTAAGTGCATAAGCGTTTTTCGAAGGCAATGAACTTGAAATCGCATTTAGACAAAAAACTCGCTAGCTACTTGGCAAAATGACATATCGACAAGCACTTTGGACTCATCCAGTTTGCCGTAAGCGAATGACAAGCAAAGAAGTGAAGCACGTTTGAACGCCTTCGAAAAAAGCACAAATGTTCAGATATATATTTTAACAGAATAGAACTGAAAACGTAAGCTTGTGCGTTACACTAGCAGTTCAAACTTTATAACTTTACAAAAGCCATGACGGTGTCTGTTTCGTAGAACTGAATATATTGTGGGTGTTAGTGAATATCTTTTCTTAAACAGGTTACTCTCAAACGTAATCAGTTCCTTTTATTTGTTATTTATTTATTTACTTATATAACCCGTCTTCACGTCTACTGCGCGCATCCCAGCATTCTCACATTCGATTCGTTTCCTCGCAACCATTGTCCACAAAGATCTCCCAACT